TACTAAAAGCCAAAGAAAGGCAATTATCAACCTTGCCCAGCTGTGAACCCTGAGAGCGGCAGTGGCAACTGCCATGGTGAAAATATGACCAATGGTGCAATAGTGACAGCACTATCGTGGGAGTAACCCACCACCTTCTAGTTGGATTTAAGGCCCAATTGGATTTAAGAGGGTTCATACCTGTCACTGTTATCAGGGCAAGAAATTGTGCCTAGCCAAATCACAGGCATCAGAGGAGAACCTATTACTACAATTATGCTAAATAGATTTAATATTAAACTGATTCACAATGACTTACTGTTACAGTCATATAGTAATACATAACTTAGCCCTTACCCAGGCTGTTCTCATAGCAGACGGTGATTAAAACAGAGACCTGCAAACAGTCAATGTGCAGAAAATGGGAGACTATAGAGTGTTCAGGCCTAAATGGGACACCTATTTCGCACCTTCTCCTCTGAAGGCTCAGGGATCATTGTGTAACAGGGTGCAGATAGATTATAAGAGGCAGAGGTGGCAGATTAACGCAAGGAAACTGTTATTTGGACACCCCAGGATAGTTGCACTATGAACCAACAGCATTTATGACAGCATACACAGGACTTATGAAAATCCAAGCCAGACAGGAGCCCAGCATAGAGGGGCAAGGTGCAAAGGAAGTTCCAGGCAGGCCTACTTGAAAATCTATTGGCAACTGATGGATGCTGGTAGAGGGAGAGGAAGTTTTCCTCACTGGTGTGATGCCTGGTACATTGCTCAGACTCCAGGGCATGGACCCATTTCCAGGAGCACTTTGGAGCCATGGATTAGAATTTTTGTTTTTTAAAACACACAAAATTTAAATAAATAAAAGGATAGATAATAATGGATTATATGAAATGAGGGGGAATGGAGAGGGACTGGAGAGGGAGAGGGGTTCTGAATGTGATCGAACTACATTGTATGAAATTCTGCATTCAATAGAAATAAAATATTATATGTAGGAGACTAGAATGATAGCTCAGCGGTTAAGAACACTTGCTATTCTTCCAGAGGACCCAGGTTAAATACACAGCACGCACATGGTGACTAGCAACCATCTGCAACTCCCATTCTAGGGGATCAGACACCCTCTTCTAGCCTCTGCAGTGCATAGCATGCACGTGGTACACTTACATACATGCAGGCAAAACACTCATACACATAAAATTTTTAAAGAATTTTATATAAATAAAAAAGCTCATTCACCACAGTCAAGTTAGCTTTATTCTCAAAACACAGGGATGGTTCAGTATGCATAATTGGATAACTGTAATAAATTATACAAATGAGTTAAAGACAAAGATCACATGATCATCTCAATAGATGCAGAAAAACACAGGGATGGTTCAGTATGCATAATTAGATAACTGTAATAAATTATACAAATGAGTTAAAGACAAAGATCACATGATCATCTCAATAGATGCAGAAAAACACTTGAACAAAATACAATATGGCCTGATGATAAAAGTCCTAGACAGTGTAGAACTAGAGGGAATAGACCTTAACATAATAAAGGCTATATATGTCAAAACCACAGTCAACATCATCCTAATTAAGAAAGACGTAAAGCAACCCCATTAAAATCTGGAATGAGACAGGAATGTCAACTATGTCTACTGCTTTCAACATAATACTTGAAGCCTAACTACAGCAATAAGACAAAAGAAGGAAATCAAAGGGATAATAATAGGAAAAGAAGAAATTAAGCTATCTTTACTTGTAGATTATATGATATTATACACATTATCCTCAGAATTTTACCAGAAAAACTTCTAGAAATAACAACTTTCAGCAAAGTGACAGGATAGAAAATCAAATTTCAAAAATCAGTAGGTTTTTACACACCAATAACAAGCATGCTGAGAAAGAGATCAAGGAAGCGGTCTTATTCACAATAGACTCAAAACATAGCCCTGAATAAACCTTACTAAGGAGGTTAAGAAAGACCTCGACAATAAAAACTTCAAATCTGTGACAAAAGGAATTGGAGAAGACACTAGAAAATGGAAAGACCTCCCATGCTCCTGTCCCAGTGAATTAATATTTAGCAAATAATCATTGCATGGAAAGCAATTTACAGATTCAATGAATTGTAATAGAAATTCCCATGGCCTATTCAGCCAAGTTTGTGTGCCAAGCTGTCCCTTGGTGTGACTTCATCCACTGGAGCTTGATCAGCCTATCTAGCGTCACTCTCTTAAAGAATATCAACTCTCCCTCACCCAGTGGTGATCAGCTGACAATAGTTCCTCAGCTAAGGTTGGGGCCTCCTGTCCATGCCCCCAGCTCTATACTGTATTTTTATCTGATTGAAGTTGCATGGGTCTTGTGCATGCTGTCACCATTGCTGTAAGTTCATATGAGCAAGTTCCCAGGACACTGAAGGACTCTGTTTCCTTATGGTCATGCACCATTCTGGCTTTTACAGTCTTTCCATCCCCTCTTCTGCAATGGTCCCTGAACCCTGGGTGGGTTAGGTTTAATATGAGTCCTATCCAGGGACAGATAATCTGAAGTCTCATTCTCTATAGAGACATTAACATATATAACAGAAGGTCTGAAATCCTGTGTGGGGGCTACTAAGGGGTGCAGAAAGGGGAGGTATCTAAATATGACTAAGATCTATTATATCAAATGCACAAAAAATATCAATAAAAATATACGTTAAGCTGGTGTGGTGGCACATGCCTTTAATCACACACTCAGGAGGCAGAGGCAGGCGGATCTCTGTGAGTTCAAGGACAGCCTGGTCTGCATAGTGAGTTCTAGGACAGCTGGGGCTACAGGGAGACCCTGTCTCAAAAAGACCAAAAAAAGAAAGAAAAAAATTATATATATATATATATAATATATATATTATATATGTATATATAAAAATCCCCATGGCATTCTTCACTGAAATAGAAAAAAAATCCTATGGTTCATATTGAAGTACAAAATTCCTGGAACACCAAAGCAATCCTGGGAAAAAAGAACAATACTGAAAAGATTTTGAGCTATATTACAGAGACACAGTAATGAAAACAGCATGGTATTGGCACAAAAACAGACATGCAGACCAATGGGACAGAATGAAATGCACAAAGCTAAGTGTACATAATTACAGCTATCTGATATATGACAAAGATGCCCAAAATACAGACTGAAGAAAAGCAACATCTACGAATGGTGCTGGAAAACTGGATATCCACATGTAGAGGAAGGAAATTAGACAAATATCTATCACCCTACACAAAAATCAACTCCAAACAGATCACAGACCTTAATATAAAATCTGAAAGACTAAAATTTCTAGAAGAATATCTAAGCAATGTCCATTAGATATAGGTTCGGGAAATGACTTCCTAAATAAGACTCAGTTTGCTTAGGAATTAAGGCCAATAATTGACAAATGGACCCTAAAAACCATAAAGCTTCTGTAAAGAAAATGAATCAATCAAACAGATTAAAAAAAAAAAGGAGCCCACAGAATAGAAGAAAGCAGACCAGTGAACCTGGAAAGGTGAGTCTTCCAACAGATAGACTAGAAATATTATGGCCTTGACCAGCTAAACTTGCAGGGCTTTTTGCTACTCTAACATTGCCCCCTCTGAAGAGGTAACCCTAAAATCTTTTAGGGATTAAATGAGAGCTCCCAAATATTTTTGACATTTTGGCCTTTGGAACAGAGTATGTTACTAAAAAGCCCAAGGACATTTTGACTTTTAGCCAAGAAAGACACAGGCTAATTTGGGGGTGGGATATTTTACCCTAACTGACTAGCCAGTTTCCACATCCTATTTTTATCACACCATCCTCTGAAGAGGTTACCTAAATTGCCAATAGGGAATCAGGACGCCAGGCACTCTGGCTTCTTATGTGCTAAATAGGAGCTGAGGATGTGGGAATTGGGGTACCCCTTCAGTGGGTCTATCCAAAAGACTCCCAAATTGCATAACTCTTATCTGTAGGGAGAAAAGAAAGTCCTTGACTAGTGCCTAAGAGATATGAAGGAGAAGTAAAGGCAAGAGTAATTAGCATTACAAGTTCTAGATAGGGAACCAGAAAAAAGTCAGAACAGGGTAAATTTTAAATGTCCAAACTAAAGTCCACTGGAATTTCTTGACAAGGGCTTCTAAAAGCATCCATTTATCAGGATTCTCCTCATTTTTCTTTTGTCTGCCAAGCTGGACTCGAGAGTGATGAACTCAGGATTTGTTTTCAGGCACTTTGATAGCTGTTGGAGTGGCTAGAACCAGGCTCACAACCAAAATACATTTTTCTTTTTTATGTATATTTTTATTGAGTTATTGTGCATTTCATATAATAGGTCTTAATCAAATAACCACCACCCCCCATCTGCAACCCCTATACCCTTCCTGCCAGATTTCATGTGGTCTGCCATATATGTTAAGGTCTATCCAGTCAAGCATTTGTTCCCATATGTCTCTCAGTGCAAGTTCATCCACTGGAGTCTAATCAGCCTATTTAGAATCACTCCCTTAAGAAAGATCAACTCTGCCGTATGTGGTGGCACTTACCTTTAACACCAACACTTGGAAGGCAGAGGCAGGTGAATCTCTGTGAGTTCAAGGCCAGCCTGGTCTACATCGTGAGTTCCAAGTCAGCTGGGGTTACAGGGAGACCCTGTCTCTCAGCTTTCCCTCACCCCAAAGTAATCATTTGCCAAGAGATCTTCATTTGAGGAAGTTCCAGAGGCCTGAGGCTTCAAAGAAATAAAGGATAAAAGTAAAATATATGAGCACATTACTAATTTCTTATCAATTTTGTAGAAACAATGTCAATATTGGATACAAATTATTATATTTATAGTAATATGTGTACATACATAATATATAATGTCATATATTAATATGGAAATTCATTATTAATATGTAGTATTAGTATTATTGGATATGTTATGAAGTAAATGTGAATAACTATACTAGTATGTAATAATGAAAATGTTATATATTTTAATAATGAATCACCAGAAAGTTTTAAGACATGCATGTGGTTCACATTATATTTACAGTGGACAGCACTGCTTCATGGCATTGTCCAGGGACAACTGAAAGAGGAGGAGGGATGGTTGATCACGTTTTTGTGGAAGAAAATATACCAAACACTCTGGTCATGGCCCCCAGCACCTCCTTATTTCTCAGGCTGTAGATGATGGGATTGAGCATGGGGGTGAGGATCGTGTAGAAGACAGCCAGAATCTTATCTTCAGCAGGGGAACGGAGACTTCTAGGTCGAAGATAAGTGTAGACAAAAGGTGCATAGTAAAATGTCACCACAGTTAAATGTGTTGAACACGTGCTGAAGGCTTTTTTCTTTCCCTCTTTTGAGCGCATATGAAAGACAGCAAAAAGGACCCGTCCATAGGAAGCAGTGATGCCAAGGAAAGGAAGTAGGAGAAACAGGCTTGTGCTCACAAACACCACATACTCATAGACCCAAGTGTCCATACAGGCCAGGGGCAACATGGCTGGAACATCGCAGAAGAAATGGTTAATGGACCTAGACCGGCAATAAGGGATATGAAGGGCATAGACTGTGTGTGCTAAAGAGTTGATGGAGCCCAATATCCAGGATGCTATGATCATCTTCAGACACATCATTGTGTTCATACGAATTGGATAATGAAGCGGGTGGCAGATGGCCACAAAACGATCATAAGCCATGGAGGCCAAGAGCAAGCCTTCAGAACATGCCATGGTCAGGAAAAAGAAGGATTGCACTCCACAGCCCAGGAAGGAGATGCTTTTTTGTCCAGAGAGAAAGTTGAAGGCCATCTTGGGAACAGTACTAGAGATGTACATCAGGTCCATGAGGGAGAGCTGGCTGAGGAGAAAGTACATGGGGGTGTGGAGTCTGGGATCCACACATATGAGGTGGATCATTGCTGAGTTGCCAAACAAGGCCAGAGAGAACACGAGGATGATGAGCAGCAAAAGAAGAAGGCCGGTTCGATTTTGTGGAAACAACCCCAACAAAATGAAATCACTTGAACTTTGATTCCATTTCTCCATGAAACTGTATTGCTTTATCTTTCTTAAAGAAATATACTCCAAACATGAAAGAGACCAGGGAGTAAAGAGAAACTGACTTAGTAATGAATTATTACAACGAATTATTCTTCCTTCAGCATGATGATTTTGTTGAGTATATTTCAATATCAGAATTGAAAGTTCCTTTCTACTTTCTTCTGAAAACCTACTCACGTCAGAGATGTCTGTGCAGTCTCTCTAAAGACAAGAACAACAATGTGAGTTCGAAAGTCAACACATTTCTTCATAGATAATTCCCAAAACCCACTGCACAAGATTATTAAAAATTCTTATAATCCAAGGAAAACTCAGATCCCTGTGTTGTCCAGTGTCCTGCATTACCTTGCTCTCTGATAGAACCTGTTTCCTGGCTCTCTTTCCCACATGCCCCTGCTCTAGGAAGAAAAGAAGAGGTCTGCTCCTTGATGCTCTGTCTCTCAAATTCTCCAAAACATACTTTGCATTTACTGAAACTGCGCGTCACACCCCCAAATCCCTCTTCTTGAACAGTGTGCTGTAAGGTCCACACCAGCTGCACTGTGCTGTAACTATGCTTCCACTTCCCTAATGCTGTTTCCATTTTTGGAAATTTTCCAGATATCAATCGAATATATTTACACATTGATAGCTTGTATGCAAGTAAATTATACTTAATAGAGACCATAGATTATATAATATGTATTTTTCTTCTCTGTAAACTACAAATATTATAAGTGAGGGTTAATATGTTGTGATTATAACACAAATTGAACACATATATCATGTATATCATGAATCTTATAACTC